TTAATTTTTTAAGAGTAATATTTCTTTAATTTCTGGGATGATGATGATGATGATGATGATGATTTTGGTACTGGGGATTGAACTCGGGACTGGGACCTTGGGCTTGCAAGGCAGGTGGCAGCACCCCTGAGCTAAATCCCCTGCCCTGATTCTTATAAATTACTTATGGGATGTAGCTTTATTGCTGGTATTCAGAACCCTTAGGAAATGACTACTTCTCAGAGGTGTCTTCCAGGTGTAGCTGGCTTTTGAGTTTTGAATCTGTTGCAAGGTCCTACCTCTTCAATTTATTGGGAATGAGAAGTTTCTCCTTACTTGGCCCAGCCACCGGTTCTTTGGGACTGGCCTATAGTTTTGGTTTTTTTTTTAAAGACCCTTAGGCAATCTCAGTCTTGGTATACCAGGAAGAACAACTGATTAGCACAGTTATGTCACCTTGGCTAAAGTAGTACAATCAGCAATAACAATAGAATCAAAGACAGCCTAGAAAATGACAAACTGTGGTAACTATTAATCTGCCACCTTTAGCAGTATAAACTACTTTATAGTTATATAACAATCTAAAATGAACCAGAAAATTGTGTGTGATAAGTAAGCCCTTAATATGGCAATCTTACCCTTAGGGAAAAAGATTTAAAAGGGTAGGGGATAAAAAATAGAGAAACAGAAGAAGAGATTAGAATCAAGGCTGGAGGACAAAGGAAGATCATACAAATTTTGGGAAACTGATGAAGAAGATAGGAGGGGAAGAGAAAGGAAGAAATATAAACAAGAAAAGAACAGAAGAAGAACAACAGAAAAACTGGAAAGCATGTTCAAACAATCCAGAAGAAACAAGAACACAAAAGAAACAAGAAAGCAAACCAATACCAAAAGCGAGAAAAGAGGAAAAAACAAAAGGAAAAGGGAAAAAAAGTCCAATTCAAGGTGTGTCTCTGCTGTCACTAGTAGACATGGGCAGAGAGTCCAGAGCCGAATTGATTCATCCCAGCAAGTCAGCCGCAGCTTTACTGTGGGATATTGGATAATCCCAGCCAGCCTGCACCTTTGATTCCACTGAAGTTCAGGCCAGTTTCTGGCTGTGAGGCTGGAACCAGATTTGTTGAGCCTGCAATGATCCTCTTGCTAGCTTGAACTCATGTGCCTGCATGAGCTTGAACTCAGCTTCCTGCTGACTTGACCTCCACTCCCTGACCTGCTGACTCAAACTTGGCTCCCTCGCTGCAAACCTGAAGCCACTAGATGGAGACGGCCTGTGGCTGTTCTGAGTTCTGAGTCCAAGATGGCTGCCGGCCAGTTGCCCTCTCCTGGGTGATGTCTGAACCTGAATAAGTCACTGACCACCGCAGTCTGCTACGTCCACTGCTCCGTTTCACTCGTGCCTTTCTCTGTGGAAGCCTCTGGGGTCACCAGTAGTCATCATGTGTCTGCAGGCTCAACCCATTCCCACACTGTGAGTCTGGACTCTGGGAGAAGTGCTGCTTGCTACCTCCCTCTTCTTCGTTGAAGTCTTTCTTTTTGCTTTCCCCGTGGGCTTCAGTTCTCACTACAGATCCTCCCTCTGTCCTGGGGACCCACTTCCCTCCTTCTTCTCCTCATATTCCAGTGTCAGGACACCAGATCTTAGAGAGGCTCTTTCTCTGCTGCTCACCACTCCACCATCTTCCCAGAAGTCCTAAAAATCAGTTTTTGAGATTCCTTAAAAAACCTTAAAACAGTAATTCCATTCAACCCAGCTATGTCCCTGCTGGATATATTCCTAAAGAGTTAAAGACATCATATTATAGTGAAACCTGCATTGCCATGTTTATAGAAGCACAACTCATAATAACTAAACTTGGAAGTAGCCTATATGTCCATCAGCAGAAAGGATAAAGAATATGTGTGTATACACAGTGGAGCACTGCTCAGCTGTAACAAAGGGTATATTTGGGTCATTTGTAGGAAAATGGGTGCTTCTTGAGACCGTAATACTTGGTGAAATAAATCACATATACAAGCCTAAATTATCACATGATTTCTCTTAGTTGAGAAACTTGAATCATAAATAATTTTTTTTTTTGGTATCGGGGATCAAACTCAGGACCTTGTACTTGTGAGTATAATTTTTAAATAAATATATACATTTAGGGGCCGGGGATTTAGCTCAGTGATTTCGTCGCTTTATTTATTTATTTATTTATTTGTTTGTTTGTTTGTTTGTTTGTTTAATTTGGTACGGGGATTGAACTCAGGTCCTTGCACTTGCAAGGCAGGCAGCAGAACCACTGAGCTAAATCCCAGGCCCGGAAGTAGACCTTTTACAAGTGGGAAGAGGATCTGGAGATGTAGGTGGGGAAGGAGAGACAGAGAAGCGAAAGTAACAAAGGATTAAGACTCAGTGTGTAGCTGGGTGTGGTAGCGCATGTCTGTAATCCCAGTACTCAGGAGGCTGAGGCAGGAGGATTGCTGAGTTTTAGTCCAGCCTGGAATATACAGACTTCTCACAAACCAAAAAAAAAAAAGATTCAGTATGTACATGTATCAGCTCCTTCTGATGAATGTAATCAGTTTATGCTGCAAGCATGTGCTAATAAAAATTTGAAAGAAAAAAAGACAATAGGAAATAGGGTAGTAGATGTTTTGGAGTTGGGAAGGGGATTTAGAGATGGGAAGGGAATTAAAAAGGATTAACATTTGATATGTACACACTCCTCTGGATGAATGTATTCACTATGTATCGGAAATATGTACTAATAAAAATATTAAAATATCTTCCCTGATTACTTAAATTTTATCTGGTTCCCCTTTGAGACAGGATCCAGTTAAATCACTCAGTTCCCCAGGCAGGGCCTAAACTAGTGATCTTCCTGTCTCAGCCTCCTAGAGTGTTAGGATCACAAGTGTATGCCATTGTGCCTGATCCCCATTTTATGACTTCTTTTTTCAAATTTAGATCCAGTCATAGTTCTCATATTGCACTTAATTATTCTCTTCCTGTAGTTGTTTAGTTTAGAAAATCAGCCCTGCTTTGCTCTGTTGGGGCCTGAACCCAGGGCCTCACACATGCTAAGCAAGTGCTCTACCCCTGAGCTACATCCCTAGGCTTTCACTGTTGAAATGAAACTAATCTTTCAAAGAGATTGGGTTGTTTGGTAATAGCCTATCTTTAAAATTTTCTGAGTATTTCCATTAAGTGGAAATTGTGTGTCTGTCCTGTGCCTTCCCTGTAAGGCCATCATTTGCAGTGTGCATACATCTAAGAGAGCCCCCACCTTTCCTTGCTTATTGTTTGGCATGGGGTTGCCCTTACCATGGGCACACAGTCCGACAGGCAGGGACAACAGGTAGAGCAGCCTTGGTACCCAGCGAGGTGGTTCCAAGTCACTGTTGGCTGGGTGATGCCGGGAGGTGGCAGAGGAGTCCTGGACAGCTGTTACGAAGTCTAGGCCAAGATTGGATTTAGTCTTGGGGGCTTTGGGACGTTCCTGTAGCATCCTTTTGGGGTCATACTTTTCTTTTAAATTATACCTCCTTCCTTAGGATTTCACTACCCTGAGATAAGCATGTTTTGGTATAGTTTTCCCTCAAAGTTGTGCATGTTTCAGAAACGTTGGAAGCTGAGACTTGTGGCAGTTGTTACTTCTGGCCACTGGGTTGGGATACATTTGTTGGGTTTTTTTGTTTTGTTTTGTCATTTTGGTACTGGGGATTGAACTTCGGACCTGCGCCTTCGAGGCAGGCACCGGAACCACTGAGCTAAATCCCTGGCCCTATTGTTGGGATACATTTGAAAAGGGGGGGTTGGGTACAGGGACGTTCAGGAGGAGGGGTTTGGGAGCAGGGGTTTAGGAAACCAGTTATATGGTGCAGCGGTGAGCTCTGCAGTCACCTCCTGTCTGTCGCTTTTCTCCCTTTGCCTTCTGGAGCAGATGGCAGCTGTCACCCAGTCTCAGGTCCCACCTGGCTGACTCGAGCATGTCAGGATCCTGGGAAGGGACCTGGGAAGGGTGGGCGGGCCGCTGAACAGTCACTTCCAGCCTTCTCTCTCCCCTCACAAACCTGGGCCAGGGTCCGTCGACTTGGTAATCAGTGTTATTTGTGGTGTGAGTGGGTCCCCAGATTGTTGACAGCGCGCCAAAGGCAGAGGCTGCTGCAGGGCTGATTCCTCTTCTGCAGTCTGCTGATCTGCCTGGGACAAGGGCCCTTTGGCCTAGGCTTCCAGGCTGGGGTCCAAGATATCCCAGGCCAGGACAGTCCACTCTGTGGTTAGTATGGCAGGCCTGCTAGTCCCCTCTCCGACTGGGCAGTGGCTCCCCTGCTCCTGCCTGGGTCATTCCCATCACAGCCGAGGTCTTTCCTTACAGACAGGGACACTGTGAGTCATCGGGTTCTATGGTGCCCTTTCCCAGCCAGTATGGATTGGCAAGGAAGGCCTGGTACTGTCCAGCTTGGTGCCCCTGCCTGCATGTGCTGCCCACTTGGTGTTATGATTGTGACTAGAGAACACAGCAGGGCCAGTGCTTGGGGAGGCTTGAGTTTGTGACTTTTTAGGGTGCTTCTGGGGTTGCAGTTCAGCCACCTAAGCTTCCTGGGCGCCGAGCTGATGGAGCCCTGGAGTTCGTAGGAGAGGGCTGTAGCCTCTGAGGAGCCTTCACAGCATGTCCAGCCTCATTTTCTACTGTGCTTGGAGGAGGAGGTGGCTTTTGTGCTCCATGTCTTGCTGCTGCCCCCCCCACCCCGGCCCAGTGTTTTTGAGCCAGGGTCCCACTGTGTGGTTCAGGCTGGCCTTGAATTCATCATGCAACCTAGGCTGGCCTGGAATTTGAGTGAAGCTCAGCTTCCCCGAGTGCTGGGATTGCAGGGCACTCCCACCCCTGGCTTGCTGCCCAGTACAGAGGCAGAGTTCCCGGTGGTCCGGGAGGCCAGCTCGTGGTTGTGGGTTCGGACTTGATCCTGTGGCCTGGCTCTGGTCTCAGAGGAGGGGTATGTGTGCCCTCTCACATTCTTTCTCTCTCTAGTTTGTCCTGAAGAATTACGGAGAGAACCCAGAGTCCTACAATGAGGAACTGAAGAAGCTGGAGTTGCTCAGACAGGTAGGAGAGCATTTTTACACAGTACACAGCACTCAGCAGCACTATGGTCACCAGTCCCTAGGCCGGGGCAGCAACCTGCACAGAGCTGTGGGCAGAATAGGGCCACCCTGAGGGCGGCTGGACCAGGAGACCGAGGCCTGTGCTGCGCCTGCCTTGGTGTCTTCATGTGCAGATTGGGCCGTTCAGTGTTTCTTGGCCTGGTAAACTCATAGGACACTTTTTACTTAGAACGCTGAGAGTAATTTTTCCAATGAAATAATTTCTAGACTAAAAAACTCCCAGACTCAGCAGCATGTAAAGTAAAATGTAAATGAGAAATTTTGGTACTAACGTGAGTCTGGTTGGTTTGTGTCTTGTTTTGTTTTTTCAGTAGTCCAGGCTGGCCTTAAAATCGCTATGTAGCCCAGGCTGGTCTCAAACTTAAGAACTTTTTGCCTTAGCTTCCTAAGTGCAAGGATTATTGGCCACCACATCTGGCTCCTGTTCTTAATGACAGCAAGACTCAAATTCCCCTTTTATGTAACTCTGATTTGTAGAGGAATGTCAGTGTAATTGGGGAAGCTTTAAGTCAGTGTCTTTTCCTGATCCAGGCCTCAGTTTTGCCGTGTGTATATAAAGGAGGGGGTGTTTATGAGACTTTCTGACCCACATCAGGTCCTTGCTTCCAGACTCCTGAGCTGCTCCCCACATGGGAATACCTTTGCTGTTTATTGTAAAAATTGAAAATATTTAATGTAAAGAATATAGAAACAAAACAAAAAGAATATATAAACTTTATAAAGAACTAAATATATATCTCTACCAGGCACATACCTTTATCTGTTTACCTACCTACAGTATATGTGTAGAAAGGGAAATCTATTGGGCCAGGCATTTAGCTCAGTGGTTCCGGTGCCTGCCTCGCAAACACAAGGTCCTGAGTTCGATCTCTGGTACCAAAAAAAAAAAAAAAAGGGAAATCTAACCTTACTACCCAGAGATAATCACTGGTAACATTTCTGTATACAGTCTTCTGAACTCTTTTTGTCTGCATGTCTGTTTAAAAATTAATAATCTCTGTGGTTTTATCTGAGTGAGATCATACCATTCTTCTGTGATGTGCTTTTTTGCCTGAAAGTATATCAAGGACATCTTTTCTTTTTTTGGTACTGGGGATTGAACTCCGGTCCTTGCACTTTTGAGGCAGGTGGCGGCACCACTGAGCTAAATCCCCGGGCCTGTCAAGGACATCTTAATGTATCAATAGAAACCTTTATGTTTAGTTTCACTAGTTTTCATGGCTGCAGAATATCCTCTTGTGGCTGGCTTCAGTGTCATTTATTTCACATGTTCTTTTTTTTTTTGGTACTGGGGATCGAACTCGGGTCCTTGCGCTTGCGTAGCAGGCGGCAAAACCACTGAGCTAAATCCCCGGCCCTATTTCTTATGTTCTTTAGAATAGAAGGTGGGCTGGCATACACTTTGTCATTGGTAACGTGGTGGTAAATATCCTTACAAAGATTTGCTTATGATGTAAATTTCTAGATACAGTTCTAGATACAGAACTGTAGATGTACCAACACACATCTGTAATCCCAGCTGCTCAGGAGGCTGAGGCAGGGAGACTGCAAGTGAGGCCAGCCTGGTCACCTTACTGAGACCGTGTCTCAAAGTTAAAAATGGTGGGAATGTAGCGCAGTGCTGTCCGGGTTCAGTCTCTTGTAACAACCCTTCCCCCTCTAAAACACCAGGTGAACATTGCAAGCTGCTTTCTAGGAATGCTGTTGCAGGCAGCCAGCCCTGGCAGGTGGAGTGGTCTGTTGAGCGGCTGGCTCCTTGGTATGTGGTTCCACCAGCTCTAGTTCTGGTGTGTGTTTCCTGGCATTTGTGGGTGAGCTCACTTGTTTCTCCCTTCTACCCCGCAGAATGCTGTCCGCGTCCCCCGGGATTTTGAGGGCTGCAGTGTTCTCCGAAAGTACCTCGGCCAGCTGCACTACCTGCAGAGTCGTGTCCCCATGGGCTCGGGGCAGGAGGCTGCAGTCCCTGTCACCTGGTGAGAGCCAGCAGCAATGCTGGGGCATGGGGCTGGGTGCTTGGGTGGCAGCAGTGCTCCTCTCCCCTGCAAGGGTAAGGAGCGGCCCTGTGGGGTCTCCTGCCCCCCACATACACACACCGGGGCCATGGTCCCCTTGGCCTTGGCCAGCCCTGGTCTCTAGTGACCAGACTGCTGCATTGCAGGACTGAGATCTTCTCAGGCAAGACTGTGGCCCATGAGGACATCAAGTACGAGCAGGCATGCATCCTCTACAACCTCGGTGAGCCATCTAGTCCTTCCCTCAACCTCTTGCCCTGCCCGCCTCAGTCTCAGCTTGCCAGAGGCCATAGAGGCTGTGGGTCTCCACTGCCTTTACCACAGCCCTTAGCCCCTGTGTGCCCTGGCAGGAGAGGCGGCCTCTGTCCCCAGACTTGACAGCAGCCCCTCCCCTGTGGCTTTGGACCACCTGGGCTCAGGGAGGAAGAAGGAGCAGGAGAGGAGTCTGTGCCATCTTGCAAGCTTCCAGAGGGGCCCTGGGCTCTAGAGAGCAGCCTGGGCTGTGCTGCTGGGTTTCCTGGGCCCTTGGACTGTGGCCCTGCAGACCTGCTTTCCTGGTGGGCTGGCACAGTGCCCCTCTGCCTTTCTGGGACACAGTCGTGACTGTGAGAGCCCTAACACTGTGTCCTCTGCCTCCCCAGGCGCGCTGCACTCCATGCTGGGGGCCATGGACAAGCGGGTGTCGGAGGAGGTGAGAAGGCGGCAGTGGCGGGACATGCAGGTGAGCGCCGCCCCTGAGAGTGGACTTGGCCAGCTTCCCCCCTCTCTTGCAGGGCATGAAGGTCTCCTGCACCCACTTCCAGTGCGCAGCAGGTGCCTTTGCCTACCTGCGGGAGCACTTCCCCCAGGCCTACAGCGTGGACATGAGCCGCCAGATCCTCACTCTCAACGTCAACCTCATGCTGGTGAGGAGGGGTCAAGCCAGCTGGATCTAGGGGCAAGTGGCCAGGGTGGGGCACTGAGGTTTGAGCCCTGGACCGGCCTCATGCAGAGGTCTGTGGGGCTGACTTGGAGGGGAGAGGGCAGCAAAGTGCGTCCCTCGGTTGTCATATGCACTGTCCCCCCCTCCCCGGGGGGTTCCAGGTGAGGAGGGGAGTGACCTGTGTGTGTCCCCAGGGCCAAGCGCAGGAGTGCTTGCTGGAGAAGTCCATGCTGGACAACCGAAAGAGCTTCCTGGTTGCCCGCATCAGCGCACAGGTAGGGGCAGGCTGAGGCAGGCTATGCCCTGCCCTGGCCTCCACTGACTGTCCGTCCTGTCCCACCCCAGGTGGTGGACTACTATAAGGAGGCATGCCGGGCCCTGGAGAACCCTGACACCGCCTCGCTGTTGGGCCGCGTCCAGAAGGACTGGAAGAAGCTGGTGCAGATGAAGATGTACTACTTTGCTGCAGTGGCTCATGTGAGCTCCAGCCCCGGGGATGGTCTGGGCTGGGTTGCCGGGGTCGGGACTGAGTCTGATGCCGCCTCTTCTGCCCTAGCTACACATGGGGAAGCAGGCTGAGGAGCAGCAGAAGTTCGGGGAGCGGGTAAGTGGGCTGTGGTGGGGGCACTCAGGCCCCAGTCAAGCCTCAGTAGGTGGGCCTGCTGCAGTCCTATCCTGTAGAGTCCCGAGATGGTCTCTGCGTCACCCCCACACGCCTGGCCACCCTGCTGCAAGTCCGGTGGCTCTTAGGTCTTGGTTCCCCGTGAAGCGCTCATCCTGGGTGTAAACTGTAGCTGGGCTTCAGATGGTCACTGGGTGGCCAGGCAGGAGGAGCAGGGGCCACACAGGGACAACAGAGCAGGCTTTGTCCTCTGCAGGTGGCCTACTTCCAGAGTGCCCTGGACAAGCTTAATGAAGCCATCAAGTTGGCCAAGGTAAGACTGAAGAGGCCTGTCTGCCCTCGGCCTGGATGAGGGGAGCAAGCCCAGTAGGGCTGCCTGGGCTTGGCACATCTGGTGGATGCTGAGGTTCCGTTCCTGTGCTACCCCCAGGGTCAGCCTGACACTGTGCAAGATGCACTTCGCTTCACTATGGATGTCATCGGTGGAAAGTGAGTCTGGGGCTCCCTTACTGCAGGCCCTCTCATGCCCTGCCTGTACCCTGAGAGGAGGCGCCAGGAGAGAGCTGTGCACCCACGAGAGACTAGGTCTCGGGTCCTGCTGAGGCCCAATTCCTCACCCCCTTGCTCCCAACCCCCAGGTACAACTCTGCCAAGAAGGACAATGACTTTATCTACCATGAGGCTGTCGCAGCCCTGGACACCCTGCAGCCTGTGAAAGGTCTGAGGCCAAGAGAGGCTGGGGAGCGGGTGTGAGGGGAGAATGGACAGGGGTCTCCATGGGCCTGACGTCCTCCTGCCCTAGGTGCTCCCTTGGTGAAGCCCTTGCCTGTGAACCCCACGGATCCAGCTGTCACGGGCCCTGACATTTTTGCCAAACTGGTACCCATGGCTGCCCACGAGGCCTCGTCCCTGTACAGGTGGGTGGGGCCGGCCTACCCTCGGCATGAGAGGAGTCGGGTGTCTCAGGAGACATGGCTGTCTAGCAGCTGCTCTGTGCCTTCCACAGTGAGGAGAAGGCCAAGCTGCTTCGGGAGGTGATGGCCAAGATCGAGGACAAGAATGAGGTCCTGGAGTAAGTGTGGGATGGGACACAGCCCTCACAGGGGGCCAGACTGCTGCCTGGATGGGCGAGGGAGGAATGCAGTGTCTCGCCTGGGCTGTAGTAGCTTTCCCAGCCCGCCCCTGCCCAGGAGCTCAGGCTAGATGTGAGTCCTGGGGCTTGGTGTCCCATCTGTGCCAGTTCCTAGCTGTCCCGGGTGTGCTCTGTGGGTCCATGTGGCAGTGGTAGAAGTCGGTAGAGGGGATTTGCTCTTAAGTCCTAGACCCAGCTTCAGCAGAGGGGCACGCCCCAGCAGGAGTTGGGTCGGCACCCAGCACCTACCCCACCTGGTTGACCCTGTAGCCAGTTCATGGATTCGATGCAGCTGGATCCTGAGACCGTGGACAATCTGGATGCATACAGCCACATCCCACCCCAGCTCATGGAGAAGTGTGCAGCGCTCAGTGTGCGGCCGGACACCGTCAGGAACCTTGTCCAGTCCATGCAGGGTGAGGGGGCAGAGTGGGTGTGTAGGGGAGCACAAGTCATCTGCTGTGGCCTGGCCCCGGCCCATCACCGAGCAGTGACTGAATGGCAGCTGGCCCAAGGGGTGCCTGGCCCACCTGCCTTAGGGGTTGCCCTCTCCACCCCAGTGCTGTCGGGCGTGTTCACGGACGTGGAGGCCTCCCTGAAGGACATCAGGACCTTGCTGGAGGAGGACGAGCTGCAAGAGCAGAAGGTGCAGGAGGCCATGGGCCAGGCTGGGGCCGGCCCAGCCATCGCCAAGGCAGAACTGGTGGAGGTGAGGAAAGAGTGGACCAAGTACATGGAGGTGCACGAGAAGGCATCTTTCACCAACAGTGAGCTGCACCGTGCCATGAACCTGCACGTGGGCAACCTCCGCCTGCTCAGTGGGCCGCTGGACCAGGTCCGGGCTGCCTTGCCCACGCCGGTCCTCAGCCCAGGTGAGCCGCCACCCGGACGCGTGTGTGTATGTGAGTGTGGGGAGCTTGGACTTTTGCTGGCCTCACTGGTGGCTGCCACCCCCCCAGAGGACAAGGCTGTGCTGCAGAACCTGAAGCGCATCCTGGCCAAGGTGCAGGAGATGCGAGACCAACGCGTGTCCCTGGAGCAGCAGCTACGTGAGCTGATCCAGAAGGATGACATCACCGCCTCGCTGGTGACTGCGGACCACTCAGAGATGAAGGTGGGTGGTGGGTGGGCAAAGGTGGGAGCTCTGCCCTGCCCTGAGCCACTGAGGCCCCGAGTGTCCTCCCCCTCACCTCCTTAGAAGCTGTTTGAGGAGCAGCTGAAGAAATACGACCAGCTGCGGGTGTACCTGGAGCAGAACCTGGCCGCCCAGGACAACGTGCTCCGCGCGCTCACTGAGGCCAACGTGCAGTATGCAGCCGTGCGGCGGGTGCTCAGTGGCCTGGACCAGAAGTCAGTGCCCGAGTTGTGCTGCTGCCCTCACCTTGCCCTGCCCCACCTGGGGCAGCTGCATAACCCGGCCTCTGCCTGCCAGGTGGAACTCTACGCTACAGACCCTGGTGGCCTCCTACGAAGCCTATGAGGACCTAATGAAGAAATCCCAAGAAGGCAAGGACTTCTATGCGGACCTGGAGAGCAAGGTGGCTGCCTTGCTGGAACGGGCACAGTCTGCCTGCCAGGCACGAGAGGCTGCCCGCCAGCAGCTCCTGGACCGGTGAGTGTGGCCCCCAGCTGCCTTGCAGCTCTGGCTCCCACCCAGGTGGGCTGGGTTCAGGGAGTGGCCTCACTTCCCTGCCTGTCCCCAGAGAGTTGAAGAAGAAGCCGCCCCCAAGGCCCACAGCCCCGAAGCCACTGCTGCCCCGCAGGGAGGAGGGCGAGGCAGTGGAGACCGGGGACCCGCCCGAGGAGCTGCGCAGCCTGCCCCCTGACATGGTGGCTGGCCCGCGGCTGCCAGACGCCTTCCTGGGAGCCGCCACCCCGCTCCCCTTCACGCCTGGCCCCTTGCCCAGCTCCACCGGCCCAGGCCCCCACTACGTCTCAGGCCCCCTCCCCGCTGGCACACACTCAGGCCCCACCCAGCTGCTGCAGGCCAGAGCTCCGGGGCCCCTGGCCATGCCCTTGGTACCTGCACCCATCCTCTACCCGGGCCCTGGCTACACCCCCGAGCTGGGCCTTGTGCCGCGGTCCTCCCCTCAGCATGGCACGGTGAGCAGTCCCTACGGGGCCGTCGCAGGCCTGCCCTCTGCCCCGCCTCCCCAGTGTCCGGGCCCTGCGTTGGCCATGGCAGTTGGGCCGGCCACCACCACGGTAGACAGCATCCAGGCCCCCATCCCCAGCCACATGGCACTCCGGCCAAAGCCCAGCCCTGCTCCGCAGCCCTGCTTTCCCCCACAGCCCGCTCCGTCACAGCAGCCCCTGCCGCTGCCCGTGCCCATGCCTGTGCCCTACACATACCCTGTTGGGACCAAGCAACCTCTTACAGCCCCCCCAGCTCAGCACCACTTTTCTCCTGGAGTCCCCACGGGGTTTCCCCCACCCCAGGGCCCCAGGATTGGGCCCCAGCCACATCCTTCGAGGGCAGCATTTGGGCCTCTGCCCCCTCAGCAACCTCTTCCATTCCAGCATCCACACCTCTTCCCGCCCCAGGCCCCGGGGATCCTCCCCCCACAGCCTCCCTATGCCTTCCCGCCCCAGCCTGCTGTCCTCGGGCAGCCACCAGCTGTGCTGCACACCCAGCTCTACGCGGGCCTTTCCCAGGACACCCTGCCGGCCTCATCTGGGGCTCTGCCCTTCCCCAGCCCCGGGCCCCCCCAGCCTCCGCCTCCCCACCCACCCCTGGCCTATGGTCCCACTCCTTCTCCCAGGCCCCTGGGTGCCCCGGCAGCCCCACTACCCATGCATGGCCCTCCGCCTGCTGGCCAGCCCAGCCCCAGTCCCCACCTGGTGCCTTCACCCGCTCCATCTCCCGGGCCTGGCCCGGTGCCCCCTCGGCCCCCTACAGCAGAGCCCCCCGCATGCCCACGCCGGGGCCCGGCAGCTGCAGACCTACTGTCCTCCAGCCCTGAGAGCCAGCACGGAGGCGCACAGCCTCCTGGGGGCGGGCAGCCCCTGCTGCAGCCAACCAAGGTCGATGCCGCTGAGGGCCGCCGCCCACAGGCCCTGCGGCTGATCGAGCGGGACCCCTATGAGCATCCTGAGAGGCTGCGGTGCTTGCAGCAGGAGCTGGAGGCCTTCCGGGGCCTGCTGGGGGACACAGGGGCGCTGGATGCAGTCTGGCGGGAACTGCAGGAGGCACAGGAACAGGATGCGCGAGGCCGCTCCATCGCCATCGCCCGCTGCTACTCCCTGAAGAACCGACACCAGGACGTCATGCCATACGACAGCAACCGCGTGGTGCTGCGCTCGGGCAAGGACGACTACATCAACGCCAGCTGTGTGGAGGGGCTGTCACCATACTGCCCGCCCCTTGTGGCCACCCAGGCCCCACTGCCCGGCACAGCTGCTGACTTCTGGCTTATGGTCCACGAGCAGAAAGTGTCAGTCATTGTCATGCTGGTGTCTGAGGCCGAGATGGAGAAGGTGAGGGCGGGGCGGGGTGCCTCTGAGGCAGAGTGGGCGGTGGGCAGGTACCCGGGAAACTGGCCTTGCTGTACCCCTCTGCCCCCAGCAAAAGGTGGCCCGCTACTTCCCCACGGAGCGCGGCCAGCCCATGGTGCATGGAGCCCTGAGCCTGGCGCTGAGCAGCGTGCGAGCCACCGAGACCCATGTGGAGCGGGTGCTGAGTCTGCAGTTCCGTGACCAGAGTCTCAAGCGCTCCCTCGTGCACCTCCACTTCCCCACCTGGCCGGAACTGTATGTCCCCTGGCCTGGCCCGGGGGGGGGGGGGGCTGTGGCGGGCCTAATTCTCACCACCCCACCCTGCCTCCAGAGGCCTGCCCGACAGCCCTGGCAACCTGCTTCGCTTCATCCAGGAGGTGCACACGCATTACCTGCACCAGCGGCCCCTGCACACGCCCATCGTCGTGCACTGCAGGTAGGCCGGCTGCTGCGGAGGGTTGCCCTCCTGGGCTTCTGGCCCAGCCTCACCCCCTTCTCTCACAGTTCTGGAGTGGGCCGCACAGGTGCCTTCGCGCTGCTCTACGCAGCTGTGCAGGAAGTGGAGGCTGGGAATGGCATCCCTGAGCTGCCCCAGCTGGTGCGGCGCATGCGGCAGCAGAGGAAGCACATGCTGCAGGAGAAAGTGAGCGCTGCAGCCCACAACGTGGGCCAGGATGGAGTGGGTGGCCCTGAGCCATGGCCCCGCTGCCCGCTGACCAGCCCCTCCCCCTCTGCAGTTGCACCTCAGGTTCTGCCATGAGGCGGTGGTGCGGCACGTGGAGCAGGTGCTGCAGCGCCACGGCGTGCCCCTACCCTGCAAGGCCCTGGCTGGTTCCGGCCCCAACCTGAAGGTGAGGGAGCTCCCCCGGGCCGGGTGGCCTCGGCTTTGGAACTCCTGTGCTCACCCCCCGTCTCCTCAGAGCCAGCTGCCTCAGGACTCCCAGGACCTGGTCCTTGGCGGAGACGTGCCCATCAGCTCTATCCAGGCCACTATTGCCAAGCTCAGCATCAGGCCTGCTGGAGGCATGGATTCCCCAGCTGCCATGCAGCCAGGCCCCACAGACACCCCAGGCCTGCCACCTGCCAGCCTCCCCGAGCCCATGCCTGCCCCATGTTCCCCACCGCCCCTCTCCTTGCCCCTGCCTGATACCCCCCAGCCGGAGGAGCAGCCGCCGGTGCCTGAAGCCCCCAGTGCGGGGCCCCCATCCTCCTCCCTGGAGCTGCTGGCCTCCCTGACCCCTGAGGCCTTCTCCCTGGACAGCTCTCTGCGTGGGAAGCAGCGCATGAGCAAGCAGAGCTTCCTGCAGGCCCACAATGGGCAGGGCCTGCATGCTGCCCGGGCCCCTGATGACCCTCTCAGCCTTCTGGACCCACTCTGGACCCTTAACAAGACCTAAGGCGCTCTGCCGGTCCTCACACCACTTCGTCTCCTGCGCCCTTCTCCTGCTGCCGCAGCCCCACCTGGCCGAGGGTGACCGAGGGTAGACACAGCGGCCTCGGATCAGGTGGGACTTGGCATTTTTCAGCTCTTGGCTGTTGAAATAAACCAATCTATTCTGTGGCCAGTGTCTGCCCACTGCTGCTGCCTCAGCCCAGGAGCGCAGCACAGACTGATGGCAGGAGGTCACGCTTGCTTCCATACCTGACTCGTTGCTACCCTGTCACCAGCTTTCTTGAGCAGGTAGAGACACAAGCATCTCCAGGCCTTGGGACATAGCATTTTTTAAAAAGTTTAATATCACAGTCTGCGAGCAGGACAATTCAGAGGCAGCTGCCAGGAGACACTCTGTTCCCGCCTCAGTCCAGCTTCTCCAGCACGGAGGGCACATAAACCAGGCTGAGCTCGCTGCCGAAGTTGCACACAATGGCGGCATTGTCCAGCACCAGGATCTGGCGGGCAGGCTGGGCCTCGCTGTTCTTCCCCAGATACACGGTCTGCAACAGGTCCCCGTAGTTCAGGTCCCAGAAGGAGACGCACCCCTGGCCACCAGTCACCAGCAGGTTGTCGGAGATGACTCCCAAGCTCGCACCACAGCCCAGGTCCTGAAAGGCAGGGTGGGTGCTCAGGGTCCAGAGTCCTGGCCCTAGGCCCCAGGCCCTGTGCTCAGCCCGCCTGCCTACCTGCTGAATGGAGTACAGTTTGATGCCCGTGCTGCGGTCCCAGATGCTGATGAGGTCATCCAGGCCGCTGCTGATGACACAGCAGGCAGTGCAGGTGAGGGACGTCACGTCCCCCCGGTGAGCAAACATGTGGCTGACCCGGCTGCCTGTCAGCACGTCCCACAGGCAGATGGCCCCGTCCTGTCCTCCACTGGCCAGCACCATGGTCTGGGGAAGAGGCCCAGGGGCCTGGGTCACTGTGGTGGGGACTTTGCCTCCAGCTCCCAGGCATCAGAAACCAAGGGCCACCAGCCAGCTCACCTGGTCCACGTAGACGCTTGTGATGGCCCCGGAGTGGCCCTGCAGCGTGAAGAGGCAGCAGGAGTCCTCCAGACGGAACACCTGGGGTGGGACGGGTGGCTGTGGGCTTTCCCAAGGTGCACGCGGCGGGGTGCCACGTGCCTGCTGCCGCCCGCCATGGCCCCGACACAGCACTCACCCTCAGGGTGTGGTCCTGGCTCCCGGTCACCAGGCGCCCGGCAGCGGCTTTCAGAGCCGTGATGGGTTTCTGGTGTGCACAGGGCACAGTGTGGGTCAGGTGGCAGAGCACCTTGTCGCTGCCACTCTGCAGAGAGGGGGGAGAGCTGCCCCGCCCTGGGGTCCCTGCAAACAACGGGCCAGGTGAGGGATCTGCCAGGCACCCGGTGGGCACTGCCTGCTGCCCCCACCCAACCCTCTCACCTCGGAACTGCAGCGGACTGAGGACCGTGTGCGTCTCCAGGGAGAAGAAATCCAGGGAGCCATTTAGCCTAGCAGCCACGACCCTGGAAAAAAGGTGCAGGCGGCTGCTCAGTGGACCTGGGGATGACAGGGAGGGGATACGGCCAAGGTGGAAAAACACAGGGCAGTGATGACGGCTCAGGCCAGCTGTTAACCTTGCCCCGCCTCGGGGTCTTTGTCGGTAAAATGGAGATCACGGTGCCCATCTCACAGGTGGCCACGAGGGTTACGTGAGCAGTGCAAGGTGCACCAGGTCACTGTCACAGCTGTACATTAAAGCAGAGGTTTCCCCTACAGCCTGGTGTAAAGAAGCCAGCGGGGCAGATGGGCAGGGCTGGCCGGGTGGGGCTGCTGTGTCCGTGGAAGAGCAGCCCATTCCATTTCTTTACCCACGACGATAGAGGTGTTCTTTGCACCGAGAGTCCTCGCCACAGGCCAGGAGACATGGCCCCGAAACCATGCAGTGGGGGGCTATGCATGTTCCCTGCCTGGGCTTGAGTGAGATGGGGAGCTGGCGGGGGGCATCCCCGGAAGCTCACGGCCAGAGTGGACAGTAGGCTACGGTTCCGGGCAGCCAGGGAGTCCCGGCCAGCGGGGAGGGGCCACAGAGCTGCGCAGGGCCGAGGCCGGCACAAGACCAGGCGACGGGAGACACGAAAGCAGCCGCCGCCAATGGCAGTGCCTAGGGCGAGGGTCCTCTTAGCCCAGGGAAGGTCACCACCAGCCCGCTGCAGGGTCAGCTCGGCGCCCCTCCACCCAGAGCAACTGGGGCAGGCGAGCTGGGGACCCACACGCTGCTGAGAGCCCAGAGCCTGCGCCCCGGCTCACCTCTTGTCCAGGAAGACGAGGGCCGTGATGCCCGAGGCCGACACCTCGCTGCTGCAGCACAGCTCGCCCTCGATGGCGTCCCACACCTGCGAGCAGAGGCCGTGAGCGCGCCCGCGGGGTCATTCCGGGGGCACGGGGGGCGGGGGGGCTCGGGGGCGGGCAGTGGGGACCGCGCACCTCCAGCCGGCCACTGCTCCGCCCGAGCACGAAGAGGCCGCCCTGCAGCTCCAGGCTCCAAATGGAGCCCTCGGTGCTCGGCGCCCAGGCCAGCGGGGGGACGTCCTTGTCCCGCGGGGGGTCCTCGGCGGGTGGGGGCGACACGGGCGACGGCGGACGGCAGGCAGGGTCCTCGCCGCCGCAAGCGCGCTGCACCAGGCGGCCGAAGTCATAACCTGGAGCGTCGCGTGCACGGCCGCAACCTTCCCGGTGCCGGGGCTCGGGCTCCGCGGGCTTTGGCAGCGCGGCGAAGTCTGTGTCGATGAGGCAGCTGAGGTCTGGCTGGTCCCCGAAGAGCGCGGCTGGCGGGCCCCGGGGGCGGCGGCGGCGGCGGCGGCGCGGGGGGCTGTCCCCGGGCTCCTGGGCGCCCGCCTTCCTGCTGCCACCGGGCAGCCGAGCCCAGCGCTCCGGGGCTTCGGCGCTGCTCCCTCCGCTGTCCCGGCGCTGCCTGCGGGGGAGGGGAGGGGAGGTAGGAGGGGGCGGGGCGTGTGGGCGGGGTGGGGCGGGGAGTGTGGGCGGGGTGGGGCGGGGAGTGTGGGCGGGGTGGGGCGGGAGTGGGGGCGGGGCGGGGCCACCTACCCGGGCCTCGGGATGCGCGTGAGGCAGTCCCCGGTCTGCGCGTCCCACACGCACACGTGGCCGGCCAGGCAGCTGCTCACGAGCAGCATACCGTCGCTGGCCAGGCACTCGATGTCCTGTGGGGAGGGAGGCGCAGCGTGGGAGCGGGCCCCGCCCCCTGTCCGTCCCTCCCGGCCGCCCGCCCGGCCGCTCACCATGAGGTGGCCGCGAAGCACCAGCGGCACGATCTCCGTCTCGGGCGGCGCGTACCCGTAGTCGTCGCACGGCAGCTCCCCGCGCCGCCGCCGGCCGCCACCCCCAGGCTGGCCATAGTCGCGGGGGCACAGCACGCGGTAGAGGCACAGCAGCAGCAGCACGAGTGCGATGCCCGCCGCCAACCCGAGCGCCGCCACCCTGCGGCCCGGCCGAGGAGGGGGAAAGCGGTGAGGCACCGCGCCCCCGCTGCCCCTCACCCAGCGCCCCTCGCCCAGCGCCCTGCTCACTTGTACAGCGTGACGTCACCGGGGGCCTGCGCCCCGCCCAGACCCGGAGTCCCTGCAGCCTCCCAGAGCCCGGCAGGTGCAGGCTCACGAGGGGCCCAGACGCTGTGGCCGTCCTGGGGGTGCCGCCCCTCCAGCGCCTCCCTCGGGTTCAGGCGCAGCGTCACCGGGATGACGGGCAGCAGGCTGATGTATCTGCAAGGTGCACGCAGGCTCAGACCCCTCCCCAGTCCAGCTCGGGCACCCCACCGCGCCCTGCCAGGCCCCAGCGCCAGCTGCTGAACCCGCCGTGGCAGAACAGGGTGGGGAGGGCAGCGAGGACCCAAGGCCGAAGCCTCACGAACTGCTCTAACTCAAACCCAGCGCACAGCGCGGGTCGGAGCTTCTCCCGCCCGCGGTGGCCTGGCTCCCTCGGGCGATGAGCCGACAGCCAGGGATAGGGGGCAGTCGCCGGCTGCTTACCCACCTCTTGGCCAGCGTGATATTGTAGTAGCTGAAGAGCGTGGGCCAGTGGCGGAAGGACAGTTCCCTCCAGAGCTCCTCGTCCTCGGGCCCCCAGGTCACCTCTGGGACAGGGCCGTCCAGGACACTCTCTGCGGGGCCCGCCGGCTCAGGCTGCTCGCCTGGCAGTGTCTGGTTCTCAGGTAGCCTTGGGGCATCCGGTGGGAAGATGGAGAAGCCGGGGTCCGGGTGGCTGGCGGGCAGCACGCCACTAGGCACGGGCAGAGGGGCCAGGGCGCCCTCACCCAGTGGGCTCTGCTCCGACACCTGGGCAGCCAAGTAGGTGCGCAGTCCTGCAGGGTCTGTGTACACCAGGATGCCGATCCAGACAACGGTGCCAGCCTGCAGGGGTCCAGTGCTCCATCAGGCCCTCGGCACTGCCTCCAGCCAGCACTTGCCCCAGTGGGGTCCCTTTCCCGGGACTGGCTCACCTTGGGTCAGATGTTGGTCGGCCCGTCCCTAACTCCCCCACGGTGGCGCCACAAAGCTGCAACATTTTCACTGCCTGACCTGTCCCAGCCTCACCCCGCCCTAATGGCTCCCAGGAGCCAGCGTGGCCCAGGGGAGCATGGCGGCCATGGCCTCAGTCCTAGGCACCTGTCCTTCCTCCCTCTGGGGGGCGGCTCCTCTACCTGACCACCCTCAGAACCCACCAGGGAGCAGGCAGGGAGGGCATGATGGGCAGCCCCTGGCCAGGCTACAGGGGCCACGCAGCAGGTACCATGATGAGGCGCTGTGCCAGGCGGGTGCGGGCCAGGAAGTAGACGACGCGCAACCTCTTGGGGAGCCGCAGGTTCCGGAAGGAGGACGGCTGCAGCGTGATGGTGTGGGGCGTGGACGGCCGCACGGCCAGCTGCCGCTCAGAGCGTGCTGGCCGCCCCACAGGCTTGGCGGGGGGCAGGCAGGCCTCGGCGGGCAGCCGCTTGTTCAGATCCGCTAGCTGTCGGAGTGCAGGGGGCTGGTCTGAGTCTACCACCCCTGCCTGGGGCCTGCACCCCTCTGTGACACCCCTGTGACTCCCTACCTCCATGCGGCGAATATCGATGGACAGGACAGTGGTGAAGAACAGCATCTGGAGGAAGAAGTCTGACACCAGGCCCACGACTGCGAAGAGGCAAAACTCCTGAAAGGGGAGCACAGTCAGGTGCTGTGACCACACAGCCAAGGGCAGGGCCGCAGGGACAGAGGGAGGGGCTCTGGCCTTGAGTTCTCACCTTTGCCACCAGGGGGCAGCACAGGCCCCTCACACCTCAGGTGGGTGCCCAACCTGGAGGCCACCACACTCCAGCTGATTCCCAGAAAGCCCTGGATCTGTGCAGGTGCCACCAACCTAGCCAGAGCCCAGGCTGTCCCACCTTTCAGCACTGGGAGGCTGCCTGGCTGTCCCCACACGGGACCAGTGAAGGAGGGAAGGCAGGAGGGACTGCTCCTGGCCAAAGCTGAATCAGGGTGGCCCTGTTCCTCACGGCCTGGTCTGAGGCCCCTGGCACAGCACTGCGGATTCCACCCCAACCTGGCTGAGACCACAGGACTCAGTGCTCGCAGCAGCTCGGGCTTTCCAGGAGGCACAGCCCCAGCCCGCAGCAGGCCCACTGCCCAGGGGAGCCCAGGGGGACGAGGACAGGCAGCTCTGCCTCTGTAGGGCCGCCCCCCTCCACCCAGCCCCGAAGCCGAGTGTGGCCACAGTGAGTGCCAAGATGGGCCTGCAGGGCTGCGACGGCCCCTCCCTTAGGCCCACACTCAGCAACCCAAGGGCCTCACCTGGATGGCGGGCACCAGGGTAAAGTAGCCGATGAGGATAATGCCCAGCTCGGTGGCCATGTTCTTCATGATGGACCAGCTCTCACTGCTCAGGCCTGCAGGGGTGACCACAGCCCGCGCTGTACTACCCACTGCCACCCACTCGGCCCTCAGAGGCGGCCACTCCACCCAGCACCCTGACTCGGCCACCAGACCATCAGATGGTCCTCGCTGTCCGGTCAGGCTGTGAGCTCCAGGCACGCAGGAGCTGTCACCTCAAGGCTGCAGGCACTGAGGGGACAGCCTCAGCTGTTTCTCACCAGCAGGGCCCTCGCTTTCTCGCTGTCCTCAGAACCCCAGTGCCCAGCTCCCACCATGAGGCAGAAGAGGAACGAACCCGAGGCATGGTCTAGACAGCAGGCCACCCCAAACACAAGTCCCCAACCTGAGAGCCACCACAGAGCACAGCCCGATGGCCATGGCTCCTCGGGGCCATGGTAAGAGAAGCCAGGGGCTCCTGTCTCCTTGGGGCACAGCAGCAAGAGGAACAGCCCCCCACACGTACACAGAGTTACCTTGGGCGATCCGCAGCTTCACCTCAAGGTCCACCGGGGTCGACACCACTGACTTGGTGAGCACGAGCACATTCTCAAAGCCGATTACCACCACCAGGTATGGGAAGATCTCGCTGGGGACAGAGGCAGCAAGGGGTGGCGCTGGGGCCCCGAGAGCACAATGCAGAAAGCCACACACCCAGGCTTCCGTCCACACAGTGCTCGGCTTTCAGGAAGGCTCAAGTCTCACCAAGGGGCCAGCACCCAGCCCTGTCCCTTTCGGCACAGGTGAGGCCTGGAGGCTGCTGCTCGCTCTCCTGGCCCTCACACACCAGCCTCCACTGGGAGACAGAACCACCATGGCCAGACACCACACAGCAGGAACTGCAGGCCACGCAGTGAATGGCCACATAGAAGGGGTGGAGCAGCCTAAACCCCGAAGGCTTTGCTAAGGAGCTGTGCTGGGACAAGAGCAACTGCTGCTTTAGGGATGGGACTGGGGAGTGAACCAGGCCAGTGCCCTTCTGCTGAGCTACGCCCTGCCCCACTTATTTGTTCTGATGTTCTGATCATTTCTTTTCTTTTTTTTTCTGGTACTGGGGATCGAACTTGGGACCTTGGGCTTGCGAGGCAGGCAGCAATACCACTGAGCTAAATCCCCGGCCCCTAATGTTCTAGTGTTTTGAGACAGGAGCTCACTGTGTCTCCAGGCCAGCCTTGAACTTGCTATGCAGCCAAGGCTGGACTCCCAACTGCTGATCTTCCTGCCTCAGCCTCCTGGGTAGCTGTGACTACAGGCGTGCACCACTGTGCCCAGCTGAGCAATTGCTCCTAAAGAACACTCCCCAGCTCACAGCCCCCCTGGCCTCACCTGACTGGGGACAGACCTAAAGGAAGGCAGCCAAGCCCACGGGAGTGCGGGCTCTGAGGAGGGGACGCAGGTGGGTTGGGTGGGCTCAGGAAGGGAGGCAGGTGCTCCCCAAAGGAAAGGAATGGGTGTGTGCCTGATGCAGGAGGCCTTGGGTCAAGCCCAGCACCATAAAAAGAAACGTGCTTTCCCCATGAGCTGCCTGACAAGCCGAGGCTGGGGACGGCAGACACCAAGGAGCGGGCAGGTAGGCCCTGACCAGAGCCCGGAGCCCAAAGCCTGAATGAAGCCCAGCTGGGAAGGCTTCTAGACGTGGACTCAGGACAGCAAGAAGGGGACAGCAATGGTGTCCTTGGATCTCTTACATAGCTTACGCACTAAGCTTAATATTTGATTAGGTGCATAAATCTTTATGAACAAAAAAGAAGGCAGTGCACCCCTCACCTCCCCTTTGTGGCATGAGCCATCAAGAAGCAGTGTGCAGGGCCGGGGATTTAGCTCAGTGGTTTCACCACCTGCTGCGCAAGCGCAAGGACCCAAGTTCGATCCCCGGTACCAAAAACAAAAAAACAAAACAAAGAAGCAGTGTGCAGGTGGATACAGCACACAAGACCCGGGGGAAGAGGGGAGGCAACCAACCGGGCCATGAACAGAATTTAGATGCATTATGCATGTGTGCCACTCCCGAGAAGACTGTAAACACACATACCTATGTACACACATTCAGGACCTTCCCACATAAACACTCTGTGCACAGCGCAACACAATCACACATGTATGTACATGGATGTACTGTACATTCCCACATACACCAACACAGGCCAGGTACTTAAAGGGGCAGAAATGCACCTCCTGAATGCCAGAAACAGCACGGTGAAGACAAGGGTACTGACTGCTTCTGGTCAGTCCAGGAAGAGCCTGGTGCCTGGACACGAATGGCTCTGGGGCCCAGTGGCGCCTGCTGGGGACCTACCCGCCATTGAGTGTGGGTGTCAGACCAAAAAGTGTGCAGAGCCCCACGGACATGAGCAGCGAGCTGAGCACTGTGACCACGGCGGCCAGGGCCAGTCCCCACTTGGACTTGACCATGTCGATCTTGCCTAGAGGGCAGAGAGGGTGCGTCAGAGCAGCCCAGCAGCCGCGTGGGCCCTAGCGAGCACCAAGGGACAGCACCTGGTCCACCTCATGGACACACCTGTCTGGCACACGGCACAGCTTCTGAGAGCCCTAGCCCAGGCAGGAGGTTCTCCTGAGACGTGAGAGGGGCCCTGGACTGCCCGGGTGGGGACGAAGCCCTAGCTTTGGGGCCATCTCTGCCCCCAGCCACCTCCAGAGGCAGGGAAGCAGGAGGCGGGAGGTGGCCGTCAGCCTGGACCTACGTGTGGAGAAGTAGATGTAGGCAAACAGGATGATGTAGGTGGTCACCAGGGGGATGAGCTCGGCAATGCCAATCTCCTCCTTGAAGTGCACGTGGACCAGGCTCTCGGCCCGAAGGCTGCAGTTGGGGCTGGGGTGCAGGAGCATGAGGCGGGCACGCAGGCTGCCCAGGAACCTAGGGACAAAGGAAAGCTTGGAGGGGCCTCGGGCCTCCTCCCCCGTCCACGTCCAGAGGGAGCTTCTTCAAGGCCGCCAAGCTCCTCGATGGTCTCCAGGGGCGGTGAAGAGCTGCACAGCAGCCAAGGTCCCCTTGCTCCTTTCCTGGCCTCTTGCACCACTCTGCCTGCCACAGGCCCAGGCACTTCAGGGGCCTCTGCCAAGAGCGGGCAGCGCTCCAGGGAGGGCTCAGAGCCATCACTGGGAACTGTGTGCCCCACACTCAGGGGGCAGAGGAGACGTCAGGACGCCGGAACCGTCACCCTGCCTTTGTGCTTGGTCTGAGCCGGGTGCCAGGCCCTCCCCACTCAAATGCAGCAGACAGCGTCCTCCGGGCTGAAGGTGAGAAATGCTTCTGCAGGAGGCCTGAAAACCATCCGAACCCCAGCCAGAGCAGAGCCCACCCAAGCCTTGTGTCACCCACTGAGTGGCCAGGAACCCAGAGCCGACCGCCTTACGTGGCGTGGTAGTGCTGGAAGACCAGGGTGATCGTGTAGGACACCATCCTCCTCTTCTTGTACAGGCTCACCCCGCTGTACTTCCCGGGAACACCAAACAGCAAGTCTGCAGAGACGGTGGGCAGTGACGGCGGGACCACAGCCACAGCAGGGCCACAAGACCCCTCCCCAAGGACAGGGGAAACCCCCGGCTGCCAGAGGACCTGACCCAGGAGCCATGGTGCCCCCAGGAGCCCAGGGCCAGGCCTACCCTTGAGCGTGGTGGAAGTCTGCAGCGTCTTGGGCTCGTGCTGGTGGATGGTCCCGATGATGTCAGGGTCGGCGTGGAAGCGCTCCCGCTCATTCTGCCAGAAGTTCCCCGGGGACAGCAGCAGGCAGCCATGCTCAGGGAGCAGGTTCCGGAGTTTCCTAAGGCCTGGCAGCAGGTCGGTCACCTGCAGGCATACCTCCTCCAGACTCCTGGTCCCAGAGCTGTGAGGGAGACAGGACGAGGCGCCTGCTGCCAGCCGGCTCCTATGGACCCACATCTGTGCCTGTTATCTCTGAAGAGCCTCGTGACTAGGCAAGGTACTCCAGGGACCTCAACATCCAAACTACTGCCGGCCCCTCCTCCAAGGGCATGTGGAGTTATGTGGAACTTGTCACCCCGGAGGGTACACACTGAAACCCTCTGGCCAACTTCGTGGGCAAGAGGCTACAGGGAGAAGTGGCAGGGCTCTGCTTAGTTTACCAAAATCCCAATCCCAGACATCGGCTCCCTAAGACCTGGAGGGGACACAGCCTCCAAAGACAACATGCTCCAGACACCACTGACGGCTGGGGAGCAGGGCCCGGCTGGTGCTGCAGAAGGTATCCCCAAGTAGAGCCGCAGGTGTCCAGGCCAGCCGGCTCTCAGCCCAAGGTCACAGCCCTGTCTGAGCCGTAAGGACGGAGCCCAGGCTCTAAGGGGGCTGTCTGCACAGGTCAGGGGGTCCCCTCCGCCCTTCTGCAGGGCTGGCTGCTCAGCGGGGTACACCTGGCCATAGCTGTTCGGGAGGGGCCGGGACCCGGGGGTACCTGTCTCGAAGCACATGGTTCCGGATCTCCTCCACCAGCTGGAACGCCCGGGACAGGGGGGAGCGGAACACATCTACTGCCAGGAGGTTCTTATGCCAGGGTGACACTGAGGTCTTCACGAATATCTGCTGGATGTAAGCCACTGGGGCACCCATGTACTGCGGGGAAACGGGGCGTGGTTGGCTTGGTGGGGCAGACAGAAACGTGGCTCTGCATTCCATCAGGGCTGAGCCTCTACTCAGGCAGAGCACCGGGGCACTGGGTGCTGGCAAACTGGCCCACACCATGCCACTCACCACTGGCTCATTCGCTGCTCTCAGGCTGCAGGGCAGAGGCCTGCAGTGTTTGAGTCCTTGACGGAACGCATCCGTGGACCAGACTGTGCAACAGGTGACAAGCTCCCAGGACCTGTCTTATAGACCCCTTCCTGCCATTTGCAGCAGGACAGAGGGTTCCTAAGGCCACAAAGCCCAGCTTTAAAACCCTGCTCTGTAAGCATCCAGCCTCAGAAGCGCTCTGGGCCTCCTGGGTCTGTTTCCTCGCAGTGAAAGAGGACTAAGATGCCGCCTGCAGCACCAGACGTCTGCACACGCCTCACTCTCTGTGCACACGGCGTGTAAACAGACACGCAGCGATGAGCCACAGAAGCACCAGCCACAGCCACAGCAGGGACCCCTCATCCTCCCCCAATGCCAGCCTCCTCCCTGCCTCTCCCTCCCCAGAACCTTACCACAGGCACGCAGGGGACAGGGCCTCGGTGAGACTCCCAGCCCCAAGGTGCAAGCTGTCAGTGGCCGAGTGGCCATGGGGGTGGGGAGGCAGTGGCGCAGGTGACAAGGGGAGCCCAGGGGAAATGGAGGTGGCCTAGGTGAAGCTGGCTGAGCCGTCTGCACTTTAAGCAGGAAGGCCGCGTGTCTCTGAGGCGCAGGCAGAGGAGGACGCGAGCTATCCCCGTGAGCCCCATGCCAGTGTCATAGCCAGGAGCACTGCAGGGCTTGGGGAGGATGAGGACAGCCACCGAGCCGCTCCCCGGTGCCCCCTGAAGACCACTGCGAGGCCAGGCCAAGTCAGCGTCTCCTACGCCAAAAGCACAGTCGGAAACAACCTGGGGCCCTGGGGACACCAGGCTGAGGACGCTGCGTCCAGGAGTAGCTCGGGGGGCAGAAACCGGCTCCACCACACACAGCCCAGCAGCGGCCAGAAGGTGCGGGCCCCGTGGGCTCAGCACAGCTCAGTGACAGGTGATCACCCACCCCACCTCCCCTCAGGCCCGCCAGGGCCCCATAGCTGAGCCCTGCGCCACTCCCAGCCAGCACTGCCCGCCTCCTGGGCCCACATGATGGACACATTCCGAGAGGGCTCCCGAAGTGTGAGGGGCCAGGCTCCAGTTCCTGCTGGGAAGGGCGCACACTGCCAGCACTCTCCGCCTTTTGGGGAAGGAGCACCATGGGGTGTGGGAACAGGGCGCCCCTCTGCACAGGCGTCTCCCTTCTCAGACTCCCCACAGCCAGCGTCTCCGGCCTCCCAGTCACCCTCGCTGGCCGAGGCCCTGGATGGGAAGGGCCCTGAACAGGCTGCTCCCAGGGGCCAGGCCCCCCTCTGCCGGCAGCGCTCCTTCATCCCCACTGACTGCCTGAGCCTTCGTGGCAGGGGTCCATATCTTTCCAGCTCTCCCAAGCTCTGGCCCAGCCACTTCCCAAGCCATCCCCCAACGTCTGTGCCCTCCAGGCTCCGGAACTCTCCAGGCCTGGGCAGCCCTGTCACTCAGTCCTAGCTTGGGTGCCCCAGAAGCAGCCTCTCACAAGCGGTTTATCTGGGAGGTGCAGGAAGCAGGGGGACAGGCGGCTGCCACAGGGTGTGCTGAGCAAGTGGCCTCTGGGGACACCTGAAGGTGACACCCCGGCTCCCGCTGTGCGGCTGGGGGCTGCTCCTAGGGCATGCGCTCCACAGCAGCACAGAGGCCCTCTGATCAGCAAGGGCAGGTGCCTGGAGGGCAGTGCGACGTGACGGCCCTCCCTCCACCCCGACGTGGCGTGCACTTGAGAAGCTGACACAGTGGTGACACGTGCTGTCCACAATGCGTGGAGGAGACACAGTGGAGGCCAGGTGCCCTGAGGGAAGAACTCCTGGGTGGATGGGGCTGTGGCAGGCAGCCTCTAACACAGCCCGGCACTGAGGACACGCTGCCCGTGTCCAGTGGCCCCTGTCGCCCACTGGATTAAAAGCACGCTGGACCTCCGATCTGCTTGAACAAAGAAGATACAGCAGAGAGGTCACTTTGGAGATGAGGTCACTCAACACCATGGCCACGCTCCAGTGAAACCGGACAGCACGCTGCACGCTGCTCGGGAAGGGTGGTGTGGCTCGCCCTGCGGCCCAACAGCCTGCCAGGGCCCCACTGATGCCACCATGTCATGTGCAAGGAAGCAGACCACCCTAGGGACTGCAGCTTTGGGATAGACCCTGGACTAAAGGGCCCGATAAGTAAACCAAGGTTCTGAAGGATGAAAGATGTGTCTGAGGTCACACAGTCACTGTGAGTACACCCAGGGTGGCTGGACTCCCGAGCCTGGTGCTTCCCAGGACACCGAAGGCCCGGCCCACCCCAGGGCCCCAGGGTTCCTTGGCTACCACTGTGCACAGCATGCGGACCTGCCCGGGGCTTCCTGGAAACCCCGGGTCCAGGCTCAAGCAGTCACCACAAACACAGCAATGCCAGCCTCACTGCCAGTGTGGAACAAGCCTGGCCACTGGTGGACCTGCTGTGTGCAGCTTGGCACAAGACTCGGGGTTCCATGATGAGCAAGCCAGTGCTGGAGACCCTGGGGCTGCTGCTTCACCTGTCTAACGTACTGTTCTCAACTTTGCGATGCACCTTCCTTCGTATGCAGAGCATTACCCGACACACCGGGGCTCCCTTCAGAACCTGACAGAAAGCAGCACCTGGCTCTTCCAGGAAGCGGGGCGCTGGGCTGAGGAGGGCAGAATAGGCTCAGGAGGCCTCTGAAGGTCAGGTCCCAACCCCACCAGCCCAGACTGTGTGCCTGGGACGAGGGTCTCAGGCTCCCCAGCCTCAGCCTGTCCCTTACTCAGGAGAAAGGGGCTCAAACCTCACCAGGTCAGCGGGGGGAACGACCCAAGTGACGTGGTGACCCGGCTAGCAAAGGGCCTGGCTATAAGCGGCAACCCTCCCGCCCATCACGGCCAGGGCCTGCGCCTGCACTGACCCTGCATCTCCAGGCTCGCGGTCAGGGTCAGGAGGACGGGTGCTCAGCAGCACCACCCCTGCGGGGAAACCCAGAGCGCCTGCTTCCACTACACAGGCTAGGCCCAGTGGCCCTGCCCGCCTCGTCACCTTGCTCCAAACAAAGCCACGCTCACCACGGCCGAAGTCAGGCCGCAGGGTTCACTCGGCAGGAAGCCCTTCCTGAGCCATGGGCAACGTGTGGAGCCCAGGCGCCCATGACCCAACAGGCAGACCGCGATGCCAACAGGGCGGCCACGAAGCAGAGAGGCTGGGACGCATCGGGAGCCAGCACCACCTCACGCAGGGACAGCCCAGCAGGGTGCAGAGCCTCAGCACGTGTGTGAGCTGCTTCTCTTAAGACAAAAAACATGGTCACACACGAGTTATTTTTTCTTTTTCTCTCTTCTTTTTTTTTTGTGGTACCGGGGATCGAACTCCAGACCTTGCACTTGCCAGGCAGGCGCGACACCACTGAGCCACATCCCCAGCTCATGAGCTGTTGTTTCTAAACTAAGCTGTCAGTATTCAGGTTCAACTACAGTGTTGGCACTTTGCGATATAGGTAAGTGGGTTCTGGGCTGCCATCTGGGCACTGGACTCTAAAAGACCACCAATGGCCTAAGGCACTGGTGTGGTGCACACTGAGGCCAGTCCAGGCGGGGACTCCCCCTCCCCTCCCCCTCCCCCCTCTCTGCTCTGGCCAGCTGGACGGATCAGTGGACCACAATAATGACGGCAACAGCCACAAACATCTGCTGAATCAAATAATGGACCAGGCACTATGCTAATTAAGCCTCTGCATTTCTTCACTTAATCCTGTGTATTTATTTACAAGGGGTTACTGGGGATAGAGCCCAGTGTGGTGCTGAGCTACACCCATGGCCCTTTTTAGGGTTTTTTTTGGTGCCGGGGATTGAACTCAGGTCCTTGCACTTGTGCAGCAGGTGGCGAAACCGCTGAGCTAAATCCCCGGCCCCTGTTTTTTGAAACAGGGTCTCCCTAAGTTGTCCAGGCTGGCCTCAAACTTGTGATCCTCCTGCCTCAGCCTCCCAAGTAGCTGGGATTATCCCCAGCATAATGTAGGTATAATTCTTACCCCCATTTTATGAATGTGAAAACTCAGGCAGAAAAGTATAAAGTAGTTTGCCCAAGGTCACACAGCTGGGAAACTCAAGGTCTCTGTTCCAATCCTCCGGGAAGAGCCTCCAACCAGGGAACGGCCCTTTCCAACCTCACAAGGCCGCAATCACAGTGACTCCAACAGAGTGGGCCGCACTCACCCCAAGGACCTTGCGGGGTCAATTAGGGCTCTTTCTAGAGGACATACAGGCAGCAACTGCAGGGTGCAGCCACCCCGCTGTGGACAGCTGAGAGGCTGGGGCAGTAAGAGCCCCACTGCATAAAGGGAAAGCAGCCCAACACAAAAGGGCAAAATACTGCAATACACACATCACAAAGTCAGGCAAATACAGCGTCTACTTAAACAAGTCGTAAGTCATCTGGGAGATGCAAATAAGACCACAATGAGATTTTGCTACATATACAGAATGGCTTGAAACACCAAACTAAACAACGGACAATGCCAAGAATTGTATAGCACCAAGACTGGACCGTAATGTATGAAAATTCAGAAATAATTTAGGAGTTCAAGGGATGTGAATGACATTTATCATCCAAAACTCATAGTGTAATCAGATCTCCTAACATCCTTTTTCTCTTTCAGGGGCCACCAGGACACATCACACTTAGCTATCACATCTCCTGAGGCTCTGCTGAGCCTTCGACAGGTTCTCAGATGCTCCTGGCTTCTGAGGAACATGGTACTTTGTGGAGCAGGCACAGAGGTCAGAAGCACACACTGCTCCACTGTCACCTGCCTGTGGAGTGCCCATCGGGTCTCCCCATGCCACACTGTCCTCCTAGGAAGGAAGTCTCTAGCGGAGTCCATGGCCAAGAAGTGAAGAGTTAGGTTTTTCCTCCTCGAGAGAGGAGTTTCTACATAAATTTTTTTGCCCAGAGATTTGTCTAGTGTCCCCATTTAATCAAATAGATCAGGATGGGCATAAGGATACTTACTCCGTACTTGGGTATACGTGTATGTGTCTGTGTATAAAGTGTACTAAGTGTGTACTGTTACATATACACACAAAAGTCAATAGTCCCTTGTTTTTTGGCAGAAACTGTTATAGCACTGGCCACTGGGACTCTTCTGATGTCCCCTCCCTGACATATATTTATTTCAAACTCCAAAACCTCTGTCTTCTCCTCCCAAGCACACCACCATCTCCTCAAGGACCGTGAGCCTCTGGCCATCCCTGCGTCACCTGTGGAGCCACCAGCATAAGCCAGAGTAGAGCTAAGGCCAGGAAGGAAGGGGCAGGGAGGAGGACTCGTCCCTGGTGTGGGTGGCAGGTTCTGTGCGCTGCCCAAGGCCCAGGCTCCTGCTCTCCCGCCGGAACTAACCCCCCGCTCATTCTCAGCCACATGACGAAGCTGACACCCAAGCACCCACCCTGGGTGACAGGGCCTGGGGTGCTAACAGACAGGGAGACCCCTGGGAGCAACGCGCCCTCTCTTCTCACGGACGCACAGTGCCAACACTCCTAGGCCCTGCTGGAAAGGCCGGGCACAGAGCCGGCCCAGAGAGGGCAATGCTGACACTGCCTCACATCGTGGCCATGTGTGCAATGCTGAAGGCAGCCTGCCCTGGCTATGAGCTCCCTGAGCTACAGCAGTCCCTTTCTGTATACTCTGTTGGCACTGAGTTTCCTGTTTCTTTCCTGTATTTTTTATCATGGACAGGAAATGAAGTGGGGACATCCACACCAGGCGACTGCACTGAGGCCTGCATCTCCTCCTCCACCCTGCAGGGGACCGGGCTCTGCCAGAGCGCAAATGGACAAGCCTGACTCTGCACACCGTGTGCCGTCATCGTCCCAGGATGACAACGAGGGGACCCTGACAGGATCATCATTGACATCCACTCCACACCGCAGACCCGTCGAGCTCCATGAGCTGAAAATCCCAAACACAAGACGACCGTGGTGGCCCTGGGAGCCATCCGTTCCATCACACGGTGACACTAAGAGGCAATGAAGGTGCAAAGTGTGAACAAGAAGGCCCATGGTGAAGCAGCGGCATGAGCATGTGGAGGAAAATCCGGTGCACACTGCAGTACAGGCCATGCTGGGACTCTGACAACAGACCCTCGGGGAGGCCCAGGTGTTCTCGTGACCACCCGCGGATGAGGGGCTGGCCCGACCCCTAGCCGTGTGGGAGTGTGCGACAAGCGCAGGTGTGAGCCCGACCCAGCTGGGCACCGCCAGGACGATGGCAGATCCTGGTTTTCTAGGACGGGCACACTTCACAGCACCCGTGTTTTCCCTCACTGAAGGCTGCTGGTTAGGTGTCTTGAGAGGTGTCCCCCCGGGCTGCGCACCCGCACCCTCAACCCCCAGCGCCCACCAGCCCTCTCTTCACACCTACCCACTCAGGCCGCTCGCTGGGCTCCCCCGGCTGGCGGTCGGGGCCGGTGCTGGGTGGGGTGTAGTCCTTCACCGGGGTGGCAAACTCCACGGGGCCGGTGCCCGGCAGGGGCAGCTTCAGCAGCGGGTAGCTGCAGGAGGAAAGGACAGAGGTGAGGTGGAGCCAGCAGGGACAGAGCCCACAGAGGCACGGCGGCACCTGCAGCTGCAAGGAAACACTCTGCCAGGCCCATGACCCGTCTGACAGGTCAGTCACCAAGCATCAGCGCCAGGACTCGGCATCATCCACACCCGAGTTTCTCCAGTTTGTCTCATAAGTCGCACAAGGAAGCCCAACTGGCAAAAGTGTTCAGACTTAATAAAAGCAAGATTCGAAGAACAAAATCTAAAACCTTCCCGTTAAATTAGACATAAGATAATGATTTTTAAAACCCAGAGGGACTGTGATTCAGAATGGTGGACAACTGTTTCATTTACAGGACAGCCGGGGATGGTGCCTGCCTGTAATCCCAACACTCTGGAGGCTGAGGCAGGAGGATTATCACTAGTTCGAGGCCAACCTGGCCTCCATAGTGAGTGCAAAGGCCAGCCTGAACTCATAACGGGACACTGTCTCAAAAAACAAAACAAAAAAAAGAAAAGAAAAATCTTCGGCTTCACACTGACAAATTGGCAGAGATCTGCATTTAGTTTCAGGTCTCATTTTTCAAAAACACTCTTATAAAATTTAGAAGTGGGCTGGGGATTTAGCTCAGTGGTTTCACCACCTGCTGTGCAAGCGCAAGGACCTGAGTTTGATCCCGGTACCAAAAATAAATAAATAAATAAATAAAAATAAAAAATTTAAAAAAATAAAATTTAGTAGTAATTTTGTATACAGTACAACATACAGACCTCAAATATGTAGTACACTGTGTTCCACACACACCTATGTACCCATTCCTGGATCAAACTATGGAACTTTCCCAGGTCCTTGGGATGCAGCCCTGTGCTGCCGGCCAGCACACCTCCGCCTCCAAGGCGAGCGCTAGCAGAGTCTCTGCAGCAATAATTCCTATTGTCTTTTTGACCTTTCAGTGCCAGAGACTCACCTCGGGGGTCCTGTGCTCGCTAAGCAGGCACTCTCCACCAAGCTACACCTTTAGCCCCAGTTTTGCCTTTTTTTCCAATGTGGTATAAATGAATCTTTATCCATTCCACTTGTACATTTTTCTGTGACTTTCATGCAAATCCTCACCTGCTACACTCATCCACCCCAGTGCACGTGCAGGTCACTCTCACAGATACACACCACTCCATGCAATCAGTGCTGCTGTACACCTGTCTCCTCCAGCAGCAAGGACACCTGGCCACTTCCAGTCTGAGCCGCTAAGAATACAGCAACGGTGACCATTTTCACACATGCCCCTGGTGGCCATCACACTTTCTGCTAGGTGTGTTGAGGATGATTTCTGAGTTGCATAGCACATGCATTTAGCATAACACACTACCAAAATTTCCCAAAGCAGTTGTACAAATTTATGTTCCCACCATCACCAATGTGATAGGGGCTGCAGTTGCGTCGAAGCGTTGCCACCTCTTGATAGGGTCAGCCTCCTTCACTGTAACCTCTGGAGTGGCATCTCATTGTTCATTTTTCAATGCTGCTGATTGAACCCAGGGCTTTGAGGCAAGTGCTCTATCCCTGAGCTACATCCACAGTAATCACAGGGTGGACCACCTTGTTTTTGTTCTACTTTTAGAATACATGCATATACTCTAGAATCTGCTCATGCTTTTAGTTTATTTTTGAGACAGGGTCTCGCTATGCAGTTAAAGCTGGAACTCGCTATGTGGCCCAGGCTGGCCTCACTCTCACAGCAATCCTTCTGCCTCAGCCACCTGAGTGTGCTCATGCTTTTAGGCTATGGAAGTAGAAACTCGGGTATAATAGTACAGAAAATGCTTACATGATGTTTAGTATGTGCCAGGAACTACTCTAAGCACTTTACGTGCATTAGCTACAGAAATGCTCCCTAGGAGCAATGCTGGCATTGTCTCCCTGCTAGAGATGAGGCACAGAATCACAAAGTAACTGACCCAGGTTTCCAACCCAAACAGTCAGCTTCACATTCTGCACTTTCCAAACTGAACTGCAGACTGTACAATACAAAGCCATCCATGGGAAAACAGAGACCTTTATTTTATGCTGGGTCACAAAAGGCACTAGAGGACCGGGGATTTAGCTCAGTGGTTCTGCTGTGTGCCCCGTAATCGCAAGGACCCAAGTTCGATCCCCGGTACCAAAAAAAAAAAACCCAAAAGGCACTAGATCTTCACACCTCTGTTATTCTACCCCCAACTAGGGTGCAGTCAGCTGGCGGGATGCAAATGGCTGAGATGAAAGCCCGCAGCAGAGGGGCCATGTGGCCCCGACTCCTCCACGCTCCTTCCATGTGGGCCAGGGCTCTGTCTGCTCAGGGCTAGGGGCCGTGGACCAGCAGCCTGGGGGTTTTCTCCATAGCCACATTCTGCAAGTATCTGAGCATCATTTGGGGCCGGTCCTTGTGCAAGGTCTAGGGTGAGAGGGACAGCTCTCTGCTGTCAGAATTTACACTCAGGCTGTGTTGAAATCAAAGTTCCCCATTTCCTAAAGTGTGTGACCATCAGAGTGCACTGTGTTCTAGCAACTGGTAATGTAATATTATAAGAAAAGTGGCTGTTCTTTGTTAATGTTAAGCCATCTCATCTTTAGATAACATAATGTTACTTTGTGTTATTTGGTTTTATGTTTCTTTCACTTCTCCTTATAGTAACAGTCCGTAACTGATTCCTAAGAGATCACAGATGATTCAGTATGTGAAGATTTCTAGCATGCATTGCCATTGAGAAATACTTTGTGTTTCCTATTTACTTTGGTGTTTTATTTTCTTGGTTGTACAGAAGTTATCTTTTCCCCCCAGAAATTACGTTTTGAAATATCGTCATGTTGTTTTATTAAAAAAAAAAAAAGAGGCTGGGTATGTAGCTCAGTGGCACCGTGCCTGTGAGGTTCTGAGTTCAATCCCCGGTACAAAAAAGAAAAAAAAAAAGAATTTATGCTTGGGGTAGAGGTGGAATATGCTGGGAGGGCCCCCAGGAAAGAGGGGAGCACGGGGCAGAGAGGGGGACGACAGAATCCCAGGAAGGAGGAGACTCGGGCCATGCTTGCGGCAATCTGGAGCCTGGGTTCAGGACCACATCACTCCAAGCTGTGCACTTCCCAGACCACTTCCAGTTAATCCAGTCCTGCTACCCCCAACTTGTGCCTGCCTGGTCACCTCAGGGCCAGCTCATCCAGTCTCTTATCTGGCCACCTTTGCCCCAGGGTCAGCCCTTTCCTGAGTCCCAGCCCCATCAGGGCCTGTCCACCTGCAGGGCCTCTCTTAGTGCAGGCTTCCTTGGCCCTGTGGCCGGCCAGACCGCCTCAGTACCTGAGACTTGGCCTACACATCACGGTTTGTTCCAGAAGCAGGTCTTGTCTTTTTTTGGTGCTAGGGATGGGACCCAGGCTTTAAGCACTCTGCACTCTACCCCCAGGCTACAGACAGGTTTGCAAACTGCACCCCCTTAAGCTCCATGTTTCTGGTCAGGGTGAGGAGACCGGAGCTGGCACTGCCCCCAGGAAGATGGGGCCCAGGAAGGCAGCATCTCTCCCACTGGCGAAGACTTAACTGTTTTCTTTATTGACTTCTCATGGAGGCACGCAGTATTGGGAACTGAACCCAGGGTCTTCCACACTTTGCATCTTCAGCCTTTTTTATATTTTTTGAGATCGGACCTTGCTAAGTCACTAAACTGCCCAGGCTGGGCTTGAGCATGTGATCTTCCTGCCTTAGCCTCCCAGAGTGCTGGGATTACAGGCTGGTGTCACCAGAGGCTTTTGTCAGCGTTGACTGCCTTGTGCCCGTCGACCCTTTCCAGCCAAAACAATCTGGTACTTGTCATGTTTGGAAGACATCCTGGCCCCCGGGACCAACTAGTGACCACGCTAGGGCACCGCTGTACCCTAAACATGAGGCTGAGTCCTTTGCCCCACCCACTTACAGGGCTTCCCTCCAGCTGGCTTGCACCACAGCCGGCCGAGTAGCAGCGTACTGCACTTCTGCGTTCATCCCTCTCGGTGTTTTCTAACTTCCCTTTGACTTCTCTGAGCCATTGATTTCCTTAAGAGTCTGTTGTTTCCTTTCCATCTATTTGTTAATTTTCCAGTTTTCTGTTATTGACTTTGTTTCATTCCACCGTGATCCTTTGCAAGATTTCACACGTTTAAGATTAGGAATGGTTTGTGGCCCCCACAGGGTCTGTGCTGGGCAGTGCTCCGTGTGCAGACTGCGCCCTGTGTCTTCAGCTCCTCCGCTTCCTTCCCCGTCCCACCTGCATGGTGCATCCATTACTAGAAGTGCAGTGCTGGAGTCCCAGTTGTAACTACACAAGTGTCCATCTGGGGCTCTGTGTGGCTGTCAGTGGTTATAACTGCTACATCTTCTCCTGGGGAACCATTTGTCACAGTTACATCTTCTTGCACTGAACCACTAAACAGCTGCCTCCTACAACTTTGTGACTTCAAGTCTGTGTTGTCTGACGATAACACAACCACTCCAGCTTTCCCGTGGTTTCCGTTCACATGAAATGCCTTTCTAGCCTAGCGCTTTCCCCTCTGTGATCTTAAACTGTGGTGTACGTCTCAAGTGTCTTGTAGATAGCAAGTGGATGAATCTTATTTTTAATCTGCCAGTCTTTCCTTCTAATAGAATTTAACTGTTTCATTTAATGTGAATACCGATAAGGGGTATACTTATACCACTTAGATGTTTTCTGTACATCGTTTTTTGTGTTCACTTCCTCCACTACTGCCTTTTTCTTTGGTATTTTTTGAATTCTTTCTGGTAGCATGCCATTTTGACTCCCTTGTTTCCTTTCATATGTATGTTTAAAGTTGTTTTCTTGGTAGTTATCTTGGAAATAGCAATTAACGTCTTAGTCTATAGAGGGTTCAACAGTGGATCTGAGCAGGCAGAGCCTGAAGATAAAGCTCAGCAACACAACCCTCAGACACATCGGCCCTCCCTTTCCACCACCTCGGACTACATGGCCGTCCACTCTGATCTCC